CATTTTCAAACTGGTTTTTGTGCACTCAACATCTGTTCTGTTACAGGTTTAAACCGGTTTCTGATCACTTAAACTGGTTTATGTGTAATGTCTGTCCCTAGCTCCATTCTTAATTGTTCAAAAAATAAAGAACAAATACACCCCAAAACCATCGAACCAGGCCAGGCGATGGAGAATGGCAAACTAGTAGAAAGGAGGACTCCATAGCCTCTTCCACCCTTCCCCCGCTAACCAATGAAATGCTGGGTCAATTCCCAATGCTTCCAGCATATCCCCATTCAGCAAACAGACTGATCGCACAAACTTTGGTTTGTCCCAAGGGAACTTTGGAGCTGTTATGTGAATTCAGCTTGTTCACTGGTTGCAACTAAGGGATCATAGATCAAACCAACATTTAAAGACCCACCCCTTAGCAAATGAAAATAGTTATTCTCCAATGACACAGTGAGAAGCGGGGGGAATGCTACGTATAGCTCAGAGTTCTGTTGCTGCTTTCACTTCAAAGAAGGTTTATTTTTGGTGAATGTGGAAAAAAAAGCCAGAAAAGTTTGTTTTCAGTCAGGGTAAAAACATCCTCTCAGCAATTTCTGAACATGAAATATAATTCAAAGGGACTGACTGATTGAAACCTTATGATGCTTGGTTTTAACATTCACATTTTTCCTCGGAAAGAAAAGAAATCCTCCTCTTTTATGTTTTATTTCTCGTGCTTGAATGAATTTAGCACTCATAAAAAGAGCCAGAATGAAAGCCCCTGAGAGAAATTCTCTGTTGATTTATGGCTTTCCATACCAAAGTGCCTCTTCTGATCAGGAGGGGGGAACCTATGGGACAGGAGAGCAGTTCAGCCTTCATGGACTCCTCATTATTGTGCTTATTATACATCATATTTATTATGAAAGTACCTAGGGACTGACCAAGAACAGGCTACATTTCTTCAGTGCCACGGATGGCTTGAAAACGGTATTGAAAGGTTTGCTTTTAGGGAATTGGCTTTTGTGTGTGTGTGTGTGCGCGCGCACGTGCTTTAGAACGGTTTAGGATGGGCAGCAGGGGGTTAATTGATTTCTAAAGGCCTGGTGGTCACACAGTCACACAGGTTCTCCTTCGAGGGAGACAGGGTGTCTAACCCAGACACGACAAGGCCAACAGACATACCCATAGTCTGAGAAACTGGTGGCATGAAATTCCTGTTTTGGGAAGGGTGCGCATGTGATGAGCTTGGAATGCACTAACAAAACAGAACGTGGACAGTATGATGACCACAGAGAGACCAATCAGTGATAGCCATGGATGAAGAGTCATCAGGAAGGAAAAAGAATACAAAAGCAGAGATGTAAGAATAACAAGGGTTCCTTCTCCCCATCCTCCTCCCCAAAAGGGTCCCTGAGAGTGGTTCCCATCCCCTAGGAGCTGTCCCCAAGGCCACCATGGACAGAGGGTACACCGCCAGCCTGTTTCATCCACCCCGCTGGAGGGGGTGGGCTTCGGCATCCCATCTCCAGGCTGCTAGCATGCTGACATTTGACACCTAAGAGAGAGCCTTCAGAGTGAATCCTGTGTCCTGGCCAGCAGATATTTCTTGTCTCTGATGACAGCCCTAGGATTAGTAGATACATAGAATTGCTTGATTGATTGTATTGTTTCTTTTCTGTTATCACTCTGTTTCAATAAATTTGCCTGTTATCAGATGGAAAGGTTGTGGTTGGTCTGAGGGTTGGGTCCCCCTGGAACAAGGCATCTGGATCCAAAATCCAGAGCCAACACCACAACCTGGACAAAAATATTGGCTCAGCCTCTCGGCAGAGACTAATGACAAACTAGTCAGTGGGCATACCTACATGAGATGCTATGTCACCGTAGTAACAAGCTACAGCAAAGTAGTTCATCGCTACGGCAATATAGCATCCACAGGCTGAAACAGTGATGCTGACGCTACTGCATAGTAGGTCTGGAAATGACCTGTGTGCCACCGGGACTGTGCAGTAACAATTGCATAGCTGAGGGCACATGTAGATGTGTCCAGTGACGGTTTGGTTTGGTTTGGTTTGGTTTGGTTTTGTGATGTAAGGTGAGGTGACAGAACAGAATCAAGAGCATCTTCAGTCTTTGGATCAAAGCTGCTATCAGGTGAATTTGAACTGGGAACTGCTATAGCACCATGAGGTTTGCTGCTATATCTGTGCATATGAACAGTATAGCAACTAAGAGATCCTAGATCAAACAAATATTTAAGGACCCACATCTTTATACAAGTAAAGACCGGTTTTGTGCTCAGGTGGATGGTTTTCCAGCAGGTAGCCAAAGTGTTTTTACAGAAGGACTTTTCTAACATGATAGATGTGGAGCAATGGCAAAAGTTGCTAGTCTAATGATATAGCATAGATGTATTACAATTACAGTCCACTCTTCGGTGAGAGAGGCAGCAGTCTGCTGGGAAAAGATGGCCTCCAGCTCACATCACTGGGGAGGAAGCTCTTCTCA